AAAATAAGATATATAAAGAATATAAAGCCGGCAATTATCTAGAAGTATGTGTTTGTAGATTGTCATTACTCAACATTTCTTAAGGTGTCTTTTTTGTTATTTTAAAGATATGGGTAAAGGTCGGCTTTAAAGCACAGCCGGAGGACCGAAGATGCCCCCCGTTATAATGCATTGTTTACTTTTGTTTCCCCTCATAGCTTTATTGAAACATCACAAAACGACACTGCATTCAACTCTATGTACCAGAGTACAGTGCAGAACATCACAACACACTGTGTAAAAATGTAACCGGTTCTTATGTTAGCGCACACCAACACGGCACATTGGTGTGATCGGAGACGAGAGGACGCTGCGGGCGGAGACGAGAGGACGCTGCGGGCGGAGACGAGAGGACGATGCAGGCGGAGACGAGAGGACGTTGCGGGCAGAGACGAGAGGACGTTGCGGGCGGAGACGAGAGGACGCTGCGGGCGGAGACGAGGGGACGCTGTGAGCAGAGACGAGAGGACGTGAAGGCAAATTGCCTTGTCTATGGGTGGGGACTGTGTGAGCTGGTGTGAGCGAGCTCCATCTCTCCGTCTTCCTGTCACTGGTCATTCAGTACACAATGGTAGACTCATCAGTGTCTGCAGAGTCTTCATACAAATCCTTGTGACGCTGGAAATACATGTCCCATTCTCATTGTACAATCTCCATCAGATTGGGCCAGGCTGTGTCCTCTGAGGGCTCCTCTAACGTGTATGTAACGGCATTTGTATTTTAGTTTTGGATAGAGTGGGGAGCCGTGTTGTTTTATTGCTGTCTGTGTCCCGCTGTGGACATTTACACCTCTGTCACGAAGTGAGGGGAAATTAAAGATTTTAGCGTTGTCACCGGAGCTAAGGGGAAATCTTCCAATGGGGGACACCTCTCTAAAGCTGGCCACACACGCCACAATCTGACTGTACAATCTCCTTTCCACCTACCAACACGTATGTAGTACAAGGGCTTCCCTGATTGGACCGGTAGGTGCTCACATTACATGGTTCTGGTATGGTCAGCTTGTAACATGTATGATGACCCGAAGGCCTCGCTCACACTGACAGATCTGCATGTAGGAGGACATTCTTATACACGTGGTATCATGTACACTGTGTGCATTTCCAGAAGATACAATTCTGTGTGTCCAGAATACCATAAGAAACTCTAAACACAGCTAACCTCACATAACGGCAGCGACTTGGAAACGCGGAAGAAAGCGATCTGTAAAGTTTGCCGTTTCCTTCATCCGTCCTGTGTTTACATAACAGAGGAGTGCCAGTGTGAATGTCACCGAAGAGAGTAACATTGTTCACTTTGGAGAGTTATCTTCTCACTTCCTGTTGCTTCTCTAGGACAGGAAGTGAAGGGAGAACTCCCTAATGGGACACAAACGGCACCAAACCGGGGTAGGCAACCTTGGCATTTCAGCTCTTGTGGAACTATGATGCATTGCAAGACTCCAACAGCCACATGTACAACTCCCAGAGGAATGATGCGATTTGTAGTTTCACCACAGCTGGAGTGCCGAGGTTGCCGATCCCTGGTACAAAAGAAACCAACATGTGGGTTTACCCTGCACTACCCAGAACTCAAGGAACAAAAAAAGAGAAACGTTTTGGCTTTACATCCAGTCAGACAGAGCCTACGTATCTGTTGGTAGATTGCACAATATAATGGTGACCTGACTGACAGCTGAGAGTCCCCAAGAGGTTCTGCAGCAACTGAAGTTAATCCCTGGACGGAAGTGCCTGCCATTATTATGTGTCGCTGAGTTCTCCCCTCCCCCCCTCGCCCAGAGCAGACAGGGGAACGGTGACCCGGGGTAAACACATTGGTTGTCGATAGGGAGGTGTTGATATCGGGGTGCGGTCGGGCAGAAGCGTCACTTGCCTGACACCAGCATATGTCCCCCGCGGTTGGAGAACTCGATGGCGTTGACACATCCGAAGTGGCCCAGCAGGTCCTTTTTGTACAGGTTCTTACAGGCCTGCAGCCTCCTCCTCTGGAAGTCCTCCTTCAGAAGGGGGTCTCCGTGTAGGCCCCTCCGGCCCAGAAAGCCTACGGCCGACCTCATGCCGCATCCCTTGTCCCTCCGCATGGTGGTGGTGACGGCTGACGGGCCCGGCTCGGATCGGGTTCTGGTCATACAGACATGGCAGCACACACAGCACCGAGCTGTTTGGAGTCAATTACGGGGCCGCTGTGAGCTCCTCCCCCCTCCCTCAGCTGATCCTCCGCTTCCTCCCTCTGACACCACTGTACAGCGCTGTCACCTATGGCAGCACCATCCGTGGCCGGGCTCACCTCATACACACACGAATAGCTCAGGCTCGGTCTGAAGAGGTTCATTTATATAGAACAAAAATAAAATCTATAGCTGCTTACTGGTATTTAGATGTGGTGGCTGCATTCCTGTATTCCCTTTGTTATCACCTGGTGATCCCACCAGTACCACACTTCCTATTCTAGGGTGACAACCCTCACTGTACTGTATGGTGCAGCAGTGTTGTCACCCTAAAACAGGAAGTGTGTTAGCACTACATAACCCCTCTCCTTGTTGCTATAACCTAGTGGGAGGTGTCCTGTAGTCCACAGAGGGGAACTACTTGAGATAATGAGAGTACAGGTAGCCCTCAAGTTACGCAGGGGTTAGGTTCCTGAGGGAATGGTTGTATATAATGTAAGTCAATGGGAAGCCGGGGAGTTATGTTCCTCACTGTATTTCTGGCAGGATCAACTAATTGAACCGATCTAATAATAGTATATGTAATAGGCCAAATAGGAGACATTTATTGTCGGGGTTACATACACTTTAACACGCTTCCAGCAGTGTTCTGGTAGACCATAGGCTGATGTAACAGACAAATCTTTTTTGTAGTTCTGGATAGAATGGAGATAATTTAGAACCCCTGTTGGGTTTTTATTGCTGTCTGTGAAAATCCAATAGGGAAA